TCAAAGTAGTCAAAAGTAGTCAAAAGTAATCAAATACTCAAATATTCAAAAACTGTCCCCGAATGGTCTGGGGATAATGTTTCACCATTCTTGAACACGTTGGGCGTATTTTCTTTGAACATTTTGGATGTTGTTCTCCCCAACATCCGCTTATAGGGGAACAGCCCCGACCTAATCGTACAGCAGGAGCCCGATCACAAGAAACCCTCCACAAGAGCAGAAGAAGAAAAAACGCCATACACATAGAAACCTTGCACAAGAAACCCTCCACGAGAGCAGAACAAGGAACAAGCCATAAGCATAGACACCTTCCACAAGGAACCTTCCACAAGAAGCCTTCCACAACAATTAGAAGAAGCAGCCGACGTCGAGCGATCTGCACCATCGGAACGCCGCGATCGTCGTCTCGTGGAAGGTTTCTTGTGGTTTCTAGTGCAGGGTTTCAGCGTAGAGTTTCTTTCGAAGAATAAAACACGCCATAAACATAAACTCTTGGCGCTCCGCGCAGATTTCTTGGATCTGCGCTGGATCCCCCCATCCCTGGCGCGCGGAGCGCGCCAGGAGCGGCGCCAGGAGCGCCGCCAGGGGGGTTGGGGACCCAGCGCGGATGCAAGAAGTCCGCGCGGAGCGCCAAAAGTGTATGCTTGCGGCGTTTGCTTCTTCTCCGAAAGATGCCCAACCCTGAAACCTTGCACAAGGATAGAGGCCTCCTAGATGGGGTCGGAGCAGATGCGGTCGGAGGATCGCGCCGCATCGCCGATACATCGGCGATGCATCGGCGATGCATCGGCGATACATTGGCCATGCATCGTCGACGTGGGCGTGAAACAAGTCGGGCTCCACATCGAGCCGCATCCGTGATGCATCGGCGATGCGGCGCGATCCTCCGACCCCATCTACTCCGACCCCATTTAGGAGGCCTGGGAAGGAACCGCGAGGAAACTCCTGCACAGGACGACGACCGCGGCGCTCCGGTGGTGCAGATCGCTCGACGTCGGCCGCTCCCTGTGCCCCGGGGCGGCGCGCAAGCCTCGAGCGCCCGCCCTGGGGTTCGCCGACGCGTCGACACGGCACGGGCCTGCCGTAGGCTGAGGTCGGGCCCGTCCCCTTACAGGCGGATTTTTCAAAAAATTGGAAGCATCGCCAAAATATCCAAATCAAAATATTATACGGAAATGGTGAAACAATCGGCCCTATACTATCTTTGAATATTTTGAATACTCCTTCTGTAGAGGGACAGGCCCGACTTAACCGTAGGCTTAAGTCTGGCCTGTCCCCCTACAAGGGGATTTTGGACGAACAATAAAATAACAATAAAATTATTTAGCCTGACGAAAGACCCAACCATACGTAGTCGGTGGCGCCCCCGTGCCACGAAACGAGTGAGGGGTGTGCCGAAATGGGGGGTGGAACCGCATGCGAGCGCAGCCACTGGGGCGCTCGGTGGAGCTCCCTATGGAGCCACGAAACGTGTGAGGGGTGTGCCAGAATGGGGGGTGGAACCGCATGCGGGCGCAGCCACTGGGGCCTTCGGTGGAGCTCCCTATGGGGCCACGAAACGTGTGAGGGGTATGCCAGAATGGGGGGTGGAACCGCATGCGGGCGCAGCCACTGGGGCCTTCGGTGGAGCTCCCTATGGGGCCACGAAACGTGTGAGGGGTGTGCCAGAATGGGGGGTGGAACCGCATGCGGGCGCAGCCACTGGGGCCTTCGGTGGAGCTCCCTATGGGGCCACGAAACGTGTGAGGGGTGTGCCAGAATGGGGGGTGGAACCGCATGCGGGCGCAGCCACTGGGGCCTTCGGTGGAGCTCCCTATGGGGCCACGAAACGTGTGAGGGGTGTGCCAGAATGGGGGGTGGAACCGCATGCGGGCGCAGCCACTGGGGCCTTCGGTGGAGCTCCCTATGGGGCCACGAAACGTGTGAGGGGTGTGCCAGAATGGGGGGTGGAACCGCATGCGGGCGCAGCCACTGGGGCCTTCGGTGGAGCTCCCTATGGGGCCACGAAACGTGTGAGGGGTGTGCCAGAATGGGGGGTGGAACCGCATGCGGGCGCAGCCACTGGGGCCTTCGGTGGAGCTCCCTATGGGGCCACGAAACGTGTGAGGGGTGTGCCAGAATGGGGGGTGGAACCGCATGCGGGCGCAGCCACTGGGGCCTTCGGTGGAGCTCCCTATGGGGCCACGAAACGTGTGAGGGGTGTGCCAGAATGGGGGGTGGAACCGCATGCGGGCGCAGCCACTGGGGCCTTCGGTGGAGCTCCCTATGGGGCCACGAAACGTGTGAGGGGTGTGCCAGAATGGGGGGTGGAACCGCATGCGGGCGCAGCCACTGGGGCCTTCGGTGGAGCTCCCTATGGGGCCACGAAACGTGTGAGGGGTGTGCCAGAATGAACCGCATGCGGGCGCAGCCACTGGGGCCTTCGGTGGAGCTCCCTATGGGGCCACGAAACGTGTGAGGGGTGTGCCAGAATGGGGGGTGGAACCGCATGCGGGCGCAGCCACTGGGGCCTTCGGTGGAGCTCCCTATGGGGCCAGCGAGCTCCCTATGGGGCCACGAAACGTGTGAGGGGTGTGCCAGAATGGGGGGTGGAACCGCATGCGGGCGCAGCCACTGGGGCCTTCGGTGGAGCTCCCTATGGGGCCACGAAACGTGTGAGGGGTGTGCCAGAATGGGGGGTGGAACCGCATGCGGGCGCAGCCACTGGGGCCTTCGGTGGAGCTCCCTTGGGTGGACGGTATGGGGCCTTGCGGGGTGTGAGAATGTGAGGGGTGTGCCAGAATGGGGGGTGGAACCGCATGGGGCCTTCGGTGGAGCTCCCTATGGGGCCACGAAACGTGTGAGGGGTGTGCCAGAATGGGGGGTGGAACCGCATGCGGGCGCAGCCACTGGGGCCTTCGGTGGAGCTCCCTATGGGGCCACGAAACGTGTGAGGGGTGTGCCAGAATGGGGGGTGGAACCGCATGCGGGCGCAGCCACTGGGGCCTTCGGTGGAGCTCCCTATGGGGCCACGAAACGTGTGAGGGGTGTGCCAGAAGGGAGGGGGAGGAGGGAGGAGGAAGGAGAGGAGGAGGAAGGAGGAAGGAGGAAGGAGGAAGGAGGAAGGAGGAAGGAACGCGGGGACCGTCTCTTCAAAACGAGGACCCAACAACACAGGTTGGTTGGGAAAAATAGGTAAACAATACCCTGAAATACTCGAAAATTGTCAAACAACCAAATCGTCCCCAGACTATTTGTTGTACCTATTTTTGAATCTTCCTCCTGTAAGCAGACAGGCCCGACTTAACCGTAGGCCCGACCGCGAGAAAGCGTCCACAAGAAACCCAACCCTGAGATCCCAGGACGTCCATCGATGTTTGGTGCGAGGGTGACGCGCTTTCCATAGCAGAGCCATCGCGACCCATGAAGCCCAGGGCACCCTGGAGGCCTGGAGGCGAGCGGGGTGTTTCTGGGCATTGGGCCCACTGCAAGCTCGGGCAAGCCCGAGCAACGCTCTCGGCAGAGGCGCAGCTGGTGGAAGGCATCCCGAGGCGGGAAAACCTCTGGGAGCCGACGACGAGGACGACTCTCGACGACGACGACGACGACGAGGACGACGATCGACGACGACGACGAGGACGACGATCGACGGACGACGACGACGAGCTCGACGACGACGACGAGGACGACGAGCTCGAAGACGAGCTCGACGACGAGCTCGACGACGAATTCGACGACGAGCTCGACAACGACGACGACATCGATGTCGGCGAGAGCCTCAGAAGACCTCCTCCGATCTCGCGCCGAGGACCCGCGTCCCGCAGGATATCTCTGGGAAAGGTGCCGCCTCAACAACAGAGATGACGTCATGCGCCAGAGACCGCCAACCGGAAGCTGGGCGAAGGCTGGCAAATCCGTGGCTGCTAAGGCGGTTTACCAGAAGAACAAACACATTCCCGGGATACAAATCAGCGCACTACATAGCAAGCGGGCTACTCCCCGGAAGAAGAAGCAATTGCCCGGAGCTTTGCTTTAGCAGCCACGGGTTTGCCAGTCTCCGCCGGGCTTCTGAGCAAACATGCTGGAGTTATGCCGGGCGTGTCCCCCTACAAAGGGAGTTTCGACGAAAAATCAAACATACCCCAAAAATGCCCCAGATAGGCCAAACAATAATCAAAAAATCGTCCCCTGACTATTTGTGGACTATGTTTTTAATATTTTTGGGGTATCTTCTATCGTTCGTGGAAACTCCCCCTGGAGGGGGACAGGCCCGACTTAATGCTGGAGCGGAAGTCGAGCAGGAACCTGCATCCACACAAACTTTGACAGGGTCCGCGCTGACTTCTTGGATCGGCGCTGGAGCCCACTCCGGAGCGCGCCAGGGGCGGCGCGGGAGGCGCCGCCACCAAGGGGGGTCCAGCGCCGATGCAAAAACTCCGCGCGGAGCTCCGAAAGTTCATGTGTATGCAGCCTTTTTCTCCCTCGGCTCAGAGCAGGCATTAGGCGGCGCGCCCCTGGGGGAAGTGAAAAGGGGCGGGCCTTCTCAGAGGGCTTGGAAGTCCCCTGGCCTTCAGAAGTTTCGAAGCCTTGCCCCGAAGAGACAGGAAGAAGACCCGCCGCCTTCTGAGAGCAGAAGAGATCCACCCCCATAACAATCACCCCGACGCGCGAAGTCGTACGCACACAAACGAGGAATCGAACAGGGAGGGCTGCCTAATAGACGCCCAAGGCCGGTCAGCAAACGCTTATTATCGGGTCAGGGCGGTCTTCCTCCCTTGAGAGAATGAAGGGGCCCTGGGACACACAAATAAATAGACACAAATAACGGGATTCCCCATATTGTCCTATATTTTCTGGGCTTTTGTCTTCCCCCCACTTCGTATATTTTCCCATGTTTTCCCGGGGAATCGACGAGTCATTGTGCCTGTGTGTTGTTTTCCCCTCCTGAGAGAAGGCCTACTCCGTCTCGCTGCCCCCCCCCCGCATCGCTCGCCGCCGAGAGCAGGCACGACGTCACACGCCCGAGGCCGCAAAGGTGCTGGAGCGGAAGGTCCGCATGGCCAGGCGCGGCGACTGCTGCGGCGACTGCGCTGGGGCGTACACCACGGGGCACGGCGCCGGCGGGGTGGCCAAGGCGGCGTGCATGTGCGCCTGCCGGCCGCCCCGCCCCCCGGGCGACCATCGAGGAGAAGGTGGAGGAGGAGGAGGAGGAGGAGGCCCAGTGTAAAGCCAAGAGTCATCCACGATGTTGGAATGGACCCTCCCTCCAAGCTCCCTCGTCTTGGGCCCCCACAACGGTTCATGTCCATTGAGGGAGCTGCCTCGTTGGAAGACAACCGTTTGAAGATTCTGAAGCATGCCAAAACGTGGTTCTCGGGGTTTTAACGCCACGTATCAACTTGACTGCGGCGTCTTGACGATCCGGAATCGTGCCAGAGCGTCATTTTTGGGACTCTAACACCGCGAACCAACATAACTGATGCACCCGAGTAATCCTGAATCCTTCCAAAACACCATTTCTGGTACGTTGATCACGGGAATCCGTGAAATTCCTGCAAATGTTGAAAACGAATGTGCGAGGCGCTACGGCGAGAGCCACATTTTGACAACGCCCCGCCCTCAATATGTGAAACCCTTGCATTTTCTTAAAACGAATGTGCGAAACGCTAAAGCGAGAACCACATTTCGAAAACCACCCGCCCTCAATCCGTGAATGACGAACGAACAACACACACCCATACGCATAGGGAGGTCGGAGGGAGAAGGACTGGCTATGGGTATGGGTGCGAGTTGTCGGACCCCTGCGGAGGCTCCCGTTCGAGCGGGGACCCCTATCCGACAACACGCACCCATAGCTCATTCCGTCTCCCCTATGGGTATGGGTGCGTGTTGATCGTTCGTCAGTGAAACGCTTGAATTTGTTTAATGCGAATGTGCGCGGCGCTAAGGCGAGAACCACATGTTGAAAACCACCCGCCCTCAATCCGTGAAACTCTTGCAAATGTTCGAAACGAATGTGCGCGGCGCTAAGGCGAGAGTCACATTTTGAAGACGACCCGCCCTCCGTCTGTGACTATGCTGTGACTTTTTAAAGCCTCACAATCATAGATGGTGAGGAAGTCTTCGGCGGAACGCCCGGCCCGCCCTGTAAACTGGCCTCGTGGTGCGACAGGGAGGAGTTATCTATCGGCGGTGGACACACCTCCCTTTAGTAAACCTCCCCTTAGTGAAAACGGCCCGTGACCGAAACCGACGGACCTGGACCCGCAAAAATGACGGCCGCGACGCCCTGTCGCGAACCGAAAACGGCCAATTCCTCAGTCGAGGTGCCAGGGTAGGCGGTCTGTCCAACCCCGAATCTATCAGGAGAAAGAACGGAGGAGGAGGAGGAGGAGGAGGAAGAGGGTCGAGGGTCGAAGATCCAGGAGGAGGAGGATCGAGAGCCAGGGGGATCGAGGAGGATCGAGGCTCGAGGATCGAGAGCATCGAGAAGGATCGAGGAGGACGAGGATGATCGAGGGCTGCTGGAGGGGGGTCAGGCCGGCATCGAGTCGAGAAATTCAGATCAAATCGGAACGTGCGTCGGATCGGGATGCGCTGGCAAGAGTCGAAATCGAATCGGATCATCCGCGCCCGGATGAGCAACAACGCCATGCAATACTCAAGAGATACACGCAGACATCCAAATGCGTAGGTCTACGACGCGTTCCTTTTCGTGGAGAAAGCTTCGCTATATTTTGCCATGACCCATGACTGCTTCAAGACGCTGCAAGTATTGAAAGGGAGAGGGGAGGAGGCAATAACAAAAGGGCCCGAAACGGGAACGGAAGGATCGGTGGCGATGCGCGACAGCAAATGCTGTCCAAAACCAGAGGCGGCCGCTGTTGGTCAAGCGAATAAGACGACTTGTCCCACACGCAGGGCTTCCGCGGCGGCGATGGTATCGTCGTTAACCTGTCCGTCCGTCCCCATGCCGATCGCACCGAAGAGAAAGGATGACACAACCGTGGCCACGTACCGACGGTGTTCGGGTCATGACGCCAGTCTCCGGCGGCCGTTTGGGACGGTTCGGACAACCACAGAAAACTATATGCGAAACGCAGCAGCCGGAACGCACCCCGAGGCAGGACAACCTCTGGGAACCGACAGAAACGCTTGAATTCGTCCGAGACCCTAAATGATGACCCCTGTTGGCACTGTCCAGGCCTGGAAGACGGAGGCACACCGGATCCCCCAACGCCACCAAGAACGTGTGCAGTTCAATTGCATGCAAATCCAAGCGCAGGATACAGCCCATCTTACGTGGCGTCCGTTTACCCCCCCCCGCGTCCTTTAGAAACTCCCGCGGTGATCCAGGTGACCACGCCCGGCCACGATCACTCGGGGCTCTGACGCCTTGGCACTGCCCGAACAGGACAAAACGCTGGAGGTCTTGGAAGGACGGGGGGCATGCAGGTCAGGGGAATCACCATCGCAGGCAGGGGGGGGATTATTATGGACGCCTTGGGGGCAGCGCAAGGGAAGTACCATCGCCTCCAAGAAACGAGCCCCTTCTGGATCCCCACGGAACGCCCAGAGACTCCCAAAGGCGCCCCGCAACGTCCCAGCACCCTCGGTCACCGACCACCTCTCCCCCTAGGCCGTCGATTTCCAGGCCATCTCGCACCTTTCCATGGATGGGACCCCCGAGTGCAAGCTCAGCCCCACCATCCGCATGATTAACCAGGGGACTCCATGCCATACTGAGGCGGGGGTCCCCTGCTCATTCTACTCGAGTTTTGCCTCCCAGTGGCAGCCATCTCGGGGGGGCGGGATGGCGACGACCCCCTGGCAAAGTCCTAGAAGGGCAGGGCCGGCCCGCATCGCATGGGACAGCCGCGTCGAATCTGCTTGCGCGCTGGTCGGGCTGCACCGGCACGGCATCGACATCGAACCGCCGTGCCCTGGTCTCTCGGGGGCGGCGTGGTCCCGATGATGAGGATGAGGAGGATGGTGACGACGATGACGACAATGATAAAGATGATGATGCGGATGGTGAAAATGCGGATTATGATGATAATTGATAATGATACTGGTATTGATTCCGATGGTGATGATGACGATTCTGATTTTCCGCTGGCGGCATCCTTCGGCGCGATGTGCAACGGCGAAAGAGACGATGCCCTTGCGATAATGCAACTCCCGGTTGACGGGCCGTGGAATCCACGGCGCTCGCTCGACCCCGCCGGCCTGGGCGGCGACGTCGCACTTGTCGCGACAGAAAAAAAACTGATTGCGAGGATGACAGCGGGGTGCGAAGGCAAGTGCGCTCGGGCAGGCTGCGCGAAACCCAAACACGTACACGCACGCGCGCGCGCGGGCACCTGCAAATTCAACGCAACGCGCAAACTGACGGCGCCAATCTTCAGTCGTTAGGAGCGAAGACGGACAAACCAGCAACCGAGAGCGGAGGGCAACGAAGGAAAGAGGGAGGAGAGGAGGAAGACGAGGCCGATGGGGAAAGCAAAGACGAACCCAAAGCGCAGAAACGACGACGCGGGAGGACAGGAAACGAGAGGAGAGGCGACAGAACGACGGGACAAGACGACAACAGGCAAAACGACAAGAGAAGAGCGGGTCCGAGGCCTCACCGCGAAGTAGAAACCGACGAACACCACATATTCCCAGGATACAATCAGGGTCGCCGAAGTCGCTGTCCACCACGAAACTCCAAAGAGAACACCTGGGACGCCGATGCTGGAGAACAACACAAACTGCCCAAGAGACAAACTTGGTCGCCGAAGCCGTAGCTCACCACAGGCTGCCCGAGAGACAATCTGGGACGCCGATGCCGAAGTCCACCACGCACTGCCCAAGAGACAATCTGGGACGCCGAAGCCGTCGCACACCGCATACTGCCAATGAGGCGATGCCCTCCGGGATACCGAAGTCGTAGCACCCCAGCTCAGCCCATGAGATCATCCATTGAAGCCCAACCAACGCGCCATTCAGGACCAGCACGTGAGCGCAGCAAGCCTAGCGCAAGTCAAACCAACGATGCGGAGGGTCTGGGGATGAAGCATATCCTGATCGAGCTGGTTGACGCTGTCGGCCAGCCGCTCGAGATCATCAACTCACGAGCTGGTCTTGACGAAGCAGCCACCTAGGAGCCTATGAACATACCCTTTCATTTGCCGACGCTCAGAGAGAGATGCACATCATGCACTCGACTCACCAATGAAGTTCGACACGAAGTGTCTGACCACGCTGCGTTCCGCGGCCCTCGCGCCAGCGGCCATCTAAAGCGTCGTAAGACAGGCGCGCGAGGAAGCGACGCCGACGCATCTCCCGCGCCGCCGACGCATCTCCCGCGCCGCCGGAGTGAACGTCACGAGCGCGGCGTTGAAGAGGATCCTGCAGCGCGGGCGCACAAGGGCCCATGCAGCAGGAATGCCAACAGAACAGGACAAGAGACCAGGACCGTCTTCCCAACAACCAACATCGAGAGAACGCCTTCAGCAGCAACGCTCGGAGCATGAACGGCAGGCCCATGTCGCCATGGTACTTCGGGCTGTGGGCCGACACCGCCGCCACCGGGCACCGATGCCAATGGCTCGCACCCGTCAGGTCCATGCCAGGGGTCCTGCGAGGCAGCGTCGCGACCACGACGCCCAGGACGATGCGAGCCATCGCGCCCTCCGTCAGGATCATCCCCACCATGATCACCAGGACCTCCGCCGGCGCCATCGAAGCGAGGACGGTCGTGACCCGCACGGTTGGCCCATAACTGCACGACGGAACCCCCTTCGGAGTGCCGGTGCCCACGATCAGTGGGATCACCCGCCGCGGCAGGCGCAACCACGACCTTCACTTTGGCCTTCGACGTGTCCGCAGCAAAGCCGAAGGCGATGTGCACCGCCCTTCCAGGCCCGAGCTGCCTCCGATTCCAATCAACGCGCGCCAGGCAGGGCATGGCACTGCGAGCGCCCAGCAGGTGCAGGATAGAAGCCACCGCGCCAGCAAATGCCAGAGCCAAAGCGGCTGATGATGATGATGATGATGATGATGATGATGATGAAAATGGAAATGAAGATGAAGATGATGATGGATATGGAGATGAAGATGAAGATGAAGATGAAGATGAAGATGAAGATGAAGATGATGATGATGAT